GGAGCCAGGGGTCAAGCCACATAGTTACATTGTGGACAGTCCCCCCAAAAGGTAATTGGTTAGGAGGTCACAGTCTTACAGTAATAAGACTACTGGGCAGGTTCTCTACATGTGGGCTAGTTACTAGAATCCAAGCAGAAAGAAATCATAGGCCAAGTGTTAAGGTCTAGGAATATTAAGTCATATTAAGTGGGTCTGGGAAGTGTGGGAGCAACTGTGGCAGGTGTTGAGAATAAATGAAGATGCTTGATTCTTCTGGAACTGGTGCCAAGGAGGCAGAGGAAAAATCCCACCAAAGAATAATCCCTGTCCTAACACACACACACACACACACACACACACATTCATACATACACACACACTTTTCTCTTGAAAGACAATGGGAAAATGCTCCCTATTCCACAAAAGAGGATACTAGGACACAGTGATTTAATAGAGAATGCCAAGTTTCTTATAAAATGAGGAGTGAGGTAAGGAAATAAAGAAATTTGTAATGAATTGGGAAACACTTAAGGTACAAGCAAGAGCAAATATGACCTATGAGGAGACCATGCTACTGAGAAGCACCTTAATCCAAAGCTCACCTTGACTTTTCTAGGTCTGTAAGCCCAGAACTGGAGCAGGTTCTAGGAAATTGATGCTGGCTTGCACGTTTACCTCAGGTCCCCTGGCTGTGTTAGGGTTGTCCTCTGCTCAAGGAGAAACTTTAGCTCTTTAGAGAACACAGATATATGATAGAAATCAGACAGCCACACTTGTGTGGTTAAAAATGCTTTTTGTTGATACAAGAATTAGACTGTTGGACCAAGGTGACTCAAAAGGTTTGGCATCTTCCCAAAGAAAAGGCAGATACTTTGAAGTCCTTGTATGTACATTGCATCCCCAAAGTCACAAAAGTGTGAGTTTATTGAATTCTTTGGGACATACTAAAAGTAATGAGTCCTCCTATGTTAAAAGAGCTAGAGAAGGGTCCAGGAAACTGGGCTCCTAATGACAAATGTACTAAAGATCTTTTTTTTTTTTTTAATATTTTTTCCCTTAGTTGTTGATAGATCTTTATTTTATTTATTTATACATAGTGCTGAGAATCAAACCTGGTGCCTCACACATGCAAGGCAAGTGCTCTACCGCTGAGCCCCAGCCCCAGCCCACCAAAGATCTTCTTGCAGGCAGCCTTTGCAAAGATAGGTAAGGTAAGCTGCTGTGAACCTATCTCTACTTATTCTCCCTCCCCACCTGGAAGCCCAGTGCCTGCGCTTGACTTCTCTGTCCTTCCCACCAGTAGCTTTTCTGCCCCACCTCAGGTGCAGAAAGGGCCAAGAAGAGAAAATGTCTCCCTTGGTCAGGACCGATAACCAAGGATTAGTCAGCAGATGAGCAGGATGTTTGTGAGGGGTGAGGTGGTATGGGAGGAGGCCAGCAGGAAATGAATCTCGTCAAAGAAGCTACCAAAAACATTCCAAAAATAAAACAGATGATATATTGAACACCCATGTACTTAACATTCGGTTTTGTCCAGATCTCACTTGCTTCAAATTTTTCTTTTAATTTCTTTGATGTTTTTCCCCAAAATTTTCTAAGAGAAATAGTAGTTTATAGAAATACCCAAGGCCCCTGGAGCATCCCTTCCCAAACCATTTCCCCCTATTGCTTCATGTTTTTCATGTTTTTCAAATTTACTTAAATGAAGCTCTGGTTTAGCAGTGATCATCCTATTTTTTTTAAGGGACAGAAAACACATTGGCATAAAGCCAATGAATTTTCTTTTCTCATTCTTCCCTTAAAATTGTTTTTTTTTTTTTTTAAGGATCAGATATAGGTGTTTATACATACATGTGGAGAAAGTAGGAGAATCAAGGTAAAAACAAAAAAATTAAAATATAAAAAAATTGTTTTTTATGCAATTTTTTGAGTTTTATTCATTTTGGCAGTTATAGCTTAGGTTTTTCCAGTTTAGCTATTTTATAGTATTCTATTGAATAAATATACAATAACTTATCTATCCATTTTTTTCCTACTGATGGTACATCTGGTTCCAATTTTTTTCTTTTAAAAAAATCCTACCATAAATATTTCATATATGTTTCCTTATGTCTAAGTGCAATGTATACATATGCACATAAGGAAGCGTGCACACAAACACACATTAATTAATCAATTAATTCATTCATTAATTTTTTGGTATTAGGTATTAAACCCAGGGACACTCAACCACTGAGCCACATCCCCAGCCCTTTTTAAAAATATTTTATTTAGAGACAGGGTCTCACTGAGTTGTTTAGGGCCTCGGTAAATTGCTGAGGCTGGCTTTGAACTTGTGATGCTCCTGCCTCAGCCTCCTGATTACAGTGCTTGACAAATGCAATATTTTCTTAATGGCATAAGAAATAAAATTTTAGATTGGTACTATTAAAATACTGCTGGGTGTTTTAAACCTTCCCATCAGTTCCATGAAGGAAGGAATTCGTCTCTTTTGTTCATCATAGTGTCCCCTGTTCCTAAACACTGCTTAGAAGAGAAGGCACTAGATAATTACTTGTTGAATAAATAAATGAATGAGAATTTGATTTATTTTTTCACCTAAACCATGAGGCCTCCTCTGGTCTGCTTGTCTCTGACCCATCAAATCTCTCCCGCTCTGACCTGCCCCTGCACTTGGATGTGAGAGTGATGGTTGATACCCCAGTTAGGTCTATGAAAAGCTCCTGTGCTGGGTCCTCCAGTGCTTTCTCCTTGTGTCTTTTGCAGACACTTTGGATATTCCCTGTCATGTGTGAGCTAGCCCATTGACGTACACCAGCAGGTCGGCATTTGCCCACAATGTCAACGGCTGCATCATTTCTCAGCTTTACTTCCCCGAGTACTCTTGGTTTCACTTGGCAGGTTGTGACCATGGCAAGGAGTTCTTTAATCCATTCCAGTCTTAGTTACTAATATCCGTAACACTCAAATCACACTTCACCCAATGGTACCTAGGCTACAGAAAGGCTAAGGCAGGCTTAAGGAGGCCACAGGATTTAAAGAGGCAGTACAAAAAAGCAGAGTCCCTGCAAGTGGTCACTTCCTGGAATGACAGGTCACTTATCGCATGTCAGTTGAAGAGTTCGGTTGATTTTGAAGTGAGCAGCATCTAATGGCAAGGAGGATGCATGCTGAGCCAAAGCCCAAGGACAGGAGGAAGTCTGTCACCTGGTAAATCTCCAGGGAAGAGGTGTTGACCTGTACACCAAGTGGTCCATAATAAGGTGATGGGTAAGGGTCCTTGTGCCATAGGGACTTACTGTTCCTCCTTTTCTATGTGTCTGGAGAGTTGGCTGCATCATTTGTTGGTCTGGTGTTTCTGATAAGCTCACATGCCTGGTTACTCAGGCAGGGTCTTGATGAGTCCATGTGTCTAAGCCACGTGCCCCTGATTTAGCTAAGTTCATTAGGTGATCATTTTTATTAGCATGAATAAGTTATGTATCAGTCTGTGTCTTATGCTATTGCTGTGCAGGGGGTGGTTGTTCTTGGGAAGTTCTGCATGTCCAACATCTAGTGGTTATCCACTTGCACAGACAAGGTGCCAGATCATTCTGCCTTAGCCCTTGTACTCAAAATGGAACAGCCCAGGCAACCTGGTGCTCCACATAACTGGAGTAGCTCAGAGAAGGGTGCAGCCTGAAAGGGATTAGGACACAACCTGCTCTCTTCATGTTGAACTGGTGGAGCCACTTAAGTGAGGAAGTCTGACCCCTGAATCACGGAGAGCAAGCATTCTCCCACTGCTCACAGACACATATTTTGGACTATACAGGAATTAAAAGTAACCTACTGTGTTAAGATACTGAGGTTTAGGGGTTTATTTGTTATACAGTCTAGTGTTACCCCAATATTGAAACAATGACTACCTTCTTTTTAAAAATGTTTTTAAATATTTTTTTTAGCTGTTGATGGACCTTTATTTTATTTGCTTATTTATATGTGGGGCTGGGAATCGAACACAGTGCCTCACATGTACGAGGCAAGCGCTCTACCACTGAGCTACAACTCCAGCCCTAATGACTACCTACTTTATGAGCACTCTCCTTGATGCTTGTCAGTTGGCAGCATATATTAAACATTAAATGCTGTTCAATATTATTTAAGGGAAGAAGAGAGAAAGGGAAAGAAGAAGGGGAAAGTTATATTTCTGAAGTTCTTTAATCATCTCATCATGGATCTAGCTCCTCCTTTTTCTTCTCCTTCTTTTTCTTCCTCCTCCTCCTCCTCTTTTTTTTTTTTTAATATGGAATGCTTCACCAATTTGCATGTCATTCCAGCACAGGGACTGCCATCTTTAATTTGAATTGCCAACTTGATAGGATTAAGAGATGACAAAGATTAAGAGACTTATGGGTGTGTCAGTGGGTTGTATCTAGGAATGATTGGCAATGTGGGATAGTCAGCTGAAATGGAGACCCTCCCTAAGTGTGGGCAGCATCATCCAATAGGATGATGGCTTGGATGGAATAAAAATTGGAAGTATAAGGAAGCCCCAGCCAATGCAAGTTTGATTTTTTAAAATATTATTATATAGGCTTTAAGATATTGTAAAAATATTTTTTAGTTGTGGATGGACCTTTATTTTATTCATTTATTTATATGCAGTGCTGAGAATTGAACCCAGTGCCTCACACATGTGAGGCAAGTGCTCTACTACTGAGCCACAATCCCAGCCCCTTTGATTCTTTTTGATGGGGTTCTTGATTGCAACTGCAATCATCTGAGGATATTGGACTCTTGCTTCTTCACTCTTCCAAAGTGGACTCTGCCAGTGATTCTTCAGGGAATTTCCAGAAGCTTTCAGTCTCAGACTAGGGTAAAACCGTTGATCCCTCTTGTTCTGAGGCTTCAGCCTCTTGGACTGCACAGCTACTGGTTCTTCCAGCTCTCCAGCCTGCAGACGGCCAATGTGCACTATCCAGCTTCTGGGTCATGTAAGCCAACCTGATAAGATTCCCTTTTCATAATTATACTTCCAGTTGATTCTGTTCCTCTAGAGAACCCCAATTAGTACAGGGGCCATGCTAATTTTCTCTGTATTGTTCCAATTATAGAATGTGTGCTACCCAAGCAAGCACAGATCTAGCTTTTTTTTTTTTTTTTTTTTTTGCCCCATATCTTCTCCATTTTCCTCCTCTCTATTTCTTTCTATGTTAAAAAGGCAATTAGAATCATCACTTGGGTATCTATCAAACTTGGTCTAAGGAATTTTTGGTTTTGGTAAATATACTTTGGGTAAACCTAGTTTTAATAATAACAGCAAGCTAATTAAATGAATCTTAAACAATTTCATAAAAATGAAACTAAAAACCTTTTGTAAAAATGATCATGATAATGAATTCATCCTTACTAACATCTAATAGCACAGGTAATATTCAAACCTAACCTACCTGCAATTTGAGGCAGGGGAATTTTTCAACTAAGTCATTTAGAAAACAAGGATATTATTTACATTGTAAACATTTATGCTATTAGATATATATATATTGCCAGCAGGAAGAAAATTTGTGGTAGGAATTACTAGTGCGTTCCCTATTCTGTTTGCTTCTCCTTCCTGGGCACCTGGAAAACTACATGTTCAGCTTCTTTACAGGTAGACAGAGCACTGTGATTAGTTCTAATTAGTGTGAGTGAAAGTTGTGTGTTACTTATGGGCACAGGCAGTGTGACGACTCTGTATGATCTGGATTGATCTCTCTTCTCTTTACTTGATTTGCATGAGCAAGAAATAAACCCTTGCTGTGTTAATCTGCAGGTTGACGTGTTGGCAAGGAGTAATAGCCTCACCAACTGAAGAGGGTTACTAAAGAAGCAGTTCATACAGAACCACACACATTTACTTCCTAGATAACCTGTGGACTTTTTGACCGATCTACATTACTAGTCTTAGATGAAAGGAATAAATTATATTTTCAGGCTCAAGATATCAAAGCAAAAGGTTTAGGATGGGTAACTGTAGTTGTTGCTCAGGATAAAGGGCACTGGCAAAGTTACACAATTAAAACCAGTACATTGAAATCTCAGACCCGTTTGAATACACACCTCGTTCTGTGACCTGTGGCCACAGAGATTTAATCTTCACAGTGGTTCCTTTTCCTGTATTCAGATTACATTAAACCTAATGGGAAAGCCATCCACCTAGTAAAAGCAGAGACAGCATTCAGTGAAATTCAATATTCAGCCAGGCCAAGGCATATCACAAGGGAACATACTGCTTCCCCAAATTATTTGCTCTTATACTAAAAATGCTGCTACATGCCTTGTTAAAGATTTATTTTGTTGTAATGTAATCCCATTATCTTGAAAATCTGTGCATTTTGGTCTGATTTCTTTTTTCTCCTTGCTGTTAAATACTGTGCCCTTTGTTGCTATTCTTTGAGTTTTAATCTTATTTCAATGTGATCATGTATAGCAACTTCCTCATGGGATAACTTCCTTCTCTTTCATCCTTTTCAAATCCAGGTAGACAAAAGATATTCTTTCAATGTAAAATCTAAAACTCAGGAGTCACAAAGGAAACTCATTGTGGCTTCTGGGTGATTTGTCATGGCATACCTTTGCAAATAAAGTTGATTTTCCTATATCCAAATTGATCTAGACAGGCTGAATTTGGATGTCTGCATATTTGAATTTGACCTTAAATGTGTTTTGGAATTGCTCGTCTCAGTAGAAGAGAAGTCACCGTCTTGACTCATTGTACAATTACAAGGTAAAGGGAAGGCTGCTCATAGAATGGAAAATTCCACAGGGGCAATCTAGCATAGAAAAATGTAGGAGCAAACCAAGTTATGTATACATAGAAGCCCTATTAGCAAGGCAATAGTAGCTCTCATTTTCAGATTTCAAAAGGCAGTAAACATCCATTCCGGCTCCTGGGTACACATTGTGTCTGTGTATTTTTTCATTGTCAGTCTGTCTCCCTTAGAAGTTGTTCAGAATCCCATTCCTGGTGGTCTGGTTTCCTTATTCTGAAGCTAAGCAAACACTTGTGTCTGTTGGTCCAATTACACACGAATAATCCTAACTAACCCTTTCCTTAAAGTTGTTCAGATTCAAAAAGAACAAATTCAAAAATAAAAAATAATAGAGAAGAAAGGATCTAATAAGGGATTCAGAAGGTAAAATGTCACCGTGTGAAGTTCCTTGGAAGCTTGTTCTGTGGTTGGTGACACCTCGGCTGGTGCTTCATTAAGAAAATGGAAGCTCTCAGACAAGAATGTGATGGTTCATCTCTCTATCCTGCCTTTGTATCCAGCTCTCTTGTTAGCTTTGGATGAGATCTTTATGCCACTTCTTCTCTTTCCTTCACACTGTGAATGTCCTTGGATGCCCCTCGATTTGGCATCAGCAATACCTACCCCCTTGAATTGCTCTAATATTCAAACTTGCTTTTCTTCCTCCCCACATTACTCCATCCACTGCCCCATTTCTCCCCACCATTATTTATAGCCATATTTCTCAAGGTCTTCATGTGGCTTCATCCCAGACTTTTATTCAAAACTTCCGCCTACTGCCCTGGCTCTGGTCATGCCTTCTGTGTTCTTTTGTAGGATCCAGGATCTACATTCAACTGTTTGTTCCAGTTTGGCTACGCTAGTTGTTATAATACACGCGTGCATTGCTTAATCATGGAGATACCTGCTGATAACTGAACCATTAGTGATCTTGTCATTGTGTGAACCACCCAGAGTGCACTTACATAAACCTAGATGGCCTAGGTCAATCACTCAAGTGGCTTTTGAGGCAATCAAGAGACCTGATAGACAAGAAGTATGAGGCTACTACTCGTGTAACCCAGCAAGCCATTTCAGAGTAAACTGTTTTTTTTTTCTTTTTTAAATAAGTAGAAGGAATACTATCTAAAATAATGATAGTACATTTATAAGCTAATGATATAGTAATTAACTGCCACTCTCAAGTATTATGTACTATACATGATTGCAAGGGCTGTACTTTTAAGCAAATGGCACAACAGTAGGTTTGTTTATGCCATTATCATCACAAACACATGGCAACATATTGTGCTATGACATTACTATGGCTATAATGTTATGCAGAGCACGATTCTATCGAAATATTTTATACCAGTTCTAGATAGTTGCTAGATGGAGTCACACCTACCTCAGCCCTCTTACTGTCTTGGCCTCTGCTAAATATATGCTTAAATCAGGAAGGGAAGGGTTAACAAGACTCACAATGGGGTTGCCATTGGCATCTGTTCTGAATGCCAGTGTCTGTGCCTGAACTTCCTTGGGAACACTGTCAGGCTGGGTAGTCTCCCCACAGAAATCAGAAAACTCTTGTTATTTGTGAGATTGTCTAATCCAATCTGTGGAAATTCTGAAGCCTTCTCCAGGGTAATGCTGTGCATCTCTGGGTGGTTTGATTGAACAGGATGCCTAGCAGTAGGGAAGAGCTCCTAGGGCTACCAGTTAGCATCTATCTTCTCTAAAAAAGTCTACCTTCCCATTTATCATCCTTCACTCATTGCCTAGCAGCTCATGCACCCTCTTTTCTCACACTCAGAAATTGCAAGGAGAGAAAATTAAATTTGAGAAGATTGTGCAGGAGCTATATGGGAAGACCCCAGACCACAATCCTGGAGGTGATCCTTAAAAGCCCAGACCACATTGTGGTTTCCAAGCATCCCCCATGACAGAAGACAAAGGATGCATGCATTCTGTCCCCTCTCCTCCCAGGCATAAGGGAACATGAACTCTAATTGTTAGAGACGGCCCTGTCTTCTGTGGCTCTTCTCTCAATCTAGCTCCACTGGTAAGAGGAAAGAGAGACAAAAGGCTGCTGTCTTCCAATGGTGACTATATAGACTGGAGGATGATTATTGAGGGCAGAGAGGGGCCTCAGGCCAGAGACAATATTGAAGCAAAAGTGTTTGGAGAGACTGCCTCTTAGAGATGGCCAGATAGTACCAAAAGCTGTTGTGGTCATTATTCCCATTAACTATACATAACAGTATGTGTTCAGCTCAAATTGACTCACTTTGGAGACTCATAGGTTAATTTTACTTACATTTAAAAATAGCTCTAAGGTGAAATAATGCTGGACACTTGCAAAGGTGGAAATGAGTGTTCTGTCCCTGATTTCAAGGTCTAGCATGCAAGGACATCTGAGAGCAAAAAACAGCCTGACAAAAGATATAGAATTGTTACTGTGGCTGTTCCTTTAGATAAAATGGATACCAAATGAGGGGGAGCTGAGAAGGGGCACTCTCTAAGCACTTTGCACAGGGTGCCTTTACCAAAGTACAATGGAGCAGGTGTGAGCTGTTTTTATAAGAATCAGTACTTTTCCACATCAAAAGGGGGTTTTTCAGCAGGAAATTTTCATATTTTCAGTGCATAAGAATTAAATCATTTCTGGATTCTTGCAAAATTATTCTTTATAGAAATTATGAGGAATTATATATCCTAACAATGAAAATTCACATTTGCAGGAGGTTTCAAAGAAAAATCACGGCCTATTTTTGTGAAAGCAACACTGAACTGGGAAAGTTTTCCGCTTCATTTTTCTCTCCAGTATCCTCCAACTTGAACTGGAAGCAGGGACAATGTTGAAGTGAGCTACGTGATGCAGACAGGTCAGGAGAAGCCCCTAGTTTGGCCTTGAGAAGCTGTGAAGGGTACGTCTAGATTTCATGAGAATAGGGGAAACCATCCTTCATTTTCTATTTTCTCCAATCTCCCAGGTCCTGGCCACCAGGTAAACCTGTGGCAGCAATGGCAGCAGCGATAGGAGTGGCCACAGCAATCTGCTAGGGTCAAAACCAATCCTCAAAGGGGAGGCACTTTCTTCCTTGTTTGGTGGAATTGTTAGTCTAAGAGGTGGGAAGTCTAAGACTCCACTGCTGCTGTCAATCTCCTCCAACCCTTGGCCTTTCCCGCTCAAAGTGGGAAGCCCAGGTGGGCTGAAAAACAGCAGGGAGATGGTGAACAGGAAGCATCTTGGGAAAGTAACCCCATGAAGTTTGGTGTGAACTCCTGGGATCCAGCCTGACATGTTCCTCCAGGGACCTGATCCTAATGAATACATCGAAGGCTTTGAAACCAGAGTTAAATAA